ATCAAATTTAATAAACGTAAAAATAAAAACACTTTAGTTATCACTATGTAAATCTTTAATTCTTATTAAATACTATAAATTATAGCTTATATTTAGAGCTACAAATCGGTATATAATACTATATGCCAATCTTTAATTGAACTTGAACCAGACTCGAATTCGTATAACGATTTAGTTCAAGTTCAGTTCGAACTTCGAATCTTTCTTGAACTCAAGTCAAAGTCTAGTTCGAGTTTGGTTCGAATTTCGAACTGAACTTGAACTCAGGCAAAAGTTCAGTTCAGTTCAGTTCATAGGAGCACTAATTAAATATATAAATTTCTTTACAAAAAGTAAATAAAAATTTAATTTATAAATATAATAAAATAAATCTTTTCTGAATATATTTATAAATTAAATTTTGTATTTATTTCTTAATAAAAAGTTTATATATTTTATAAAATATAAAGTTTAACAAATTTAAATTTTATAATCTATATAATAACTAATTTATTTATAAAATTATATATAAAATATTATTAATAAAAATATCAATAATTAAAATTTTATCTTATATAAAAGTTTTAAATTTTATTAATAAATATATTTTATTTTTTATTAAAGTAAAGATTTAATTTATATTTTAACTTATATTTTTTCTGAATTATTTAGATTTAATTTAATAAAATCGCTCTAATTATAAAATTAACTATAAAAATTTTGTAATAACTTTGTAATTAATATAATTTATTAGATTAAATTTTAAAAATTCAAAAATATATATAATAAAATTTATTTAAAATAAAAATTCTTATTTTTTATTATATTTTATTAACAAAATTATATGTATAATTTTAGAATTTTGTTAATTCAATTTATTATTAAAATAAAAATTATAATTTATATTTTATATTTATTTTTAAAATATAAAATTAATTATAAAAATTTTTGTAATAATTTTGCAATTAGAATAATATTATTAAATTAAATATAAAATAAAATAAAAATTTATATTATATTTTTATATTTAATTTTATAAGTTTTTCTATTATATTTTTTTATATTGAATTTTTAATTATAATATAAATATAAAATTTTTATTTGAACTTTGTAATTTTTTTGAATTAAATACAAAAATATATATATTACAGTATAAATTATAATTTTTATTTTATTTTAATAGTAAATTTTAACGTTTTAAAGTTTATAATTTAAAAAAATCAAATATATAAATTTAAATATATTTTAATTAAATAATTTTTCTATTCAAATTGTATTTTTTAATTTAATTAAAAAATTTTAACTTATAAAAATTAATATTTTTTAAGAATTACTACATAAAATTTATGTTTTTAATTAAAATTATAAAATTCTCTAGAATTATATATTTAATATATGAATTTCTATTTAATTTACAATATTTTGGTTATCTTTTATATAAATTATTATATAATTTGTTACTTTATTTTAGATTGCTAATTCAATTATACTAATTATATTTATGCTTAAATATTTTATTTAATATCTAATTAAAGTATAATTTGTTCAAAAATTATTAAATATAGAAAATTATTTATTATAAAATTTATAAATATAGTATTTATTATTTTATTAATAAATATTTTATTAATGACTGTTTTTGAACTTTTGGCTTGTAGTTATTAGATTGCTATTTCAAAAGTTTTATACAAGTTACTATGAATTAAATTTTTTTAGATCAAAATGTGAGTATAATACTATAAAAAAATGATATTAATAAACTTGTTATTTATTAAATTGACAGTAATAAAAAAGTATGATTATATAGAATTAGGAGGTGATTACTGCACAACTGGATTAGAAATGCTATTTACTGTAATAGTTATAAATCAATATCTTTTTAAAAAAAGTTAATTTTTTTAATTTCTAGTATCTTATTAGAATAAAAAAATCCATAATTAAAATTCAATTTACAGTTTATAAAATTTATAAGATCAAGCATCCTTTCTTCCTTCGTCTAGGAATCTCACGATCAGCCCGAATCATTCTGACAACGGTGTAAAATGCCCTTTCAACATTTACACACTCTTTTGCCGAGGTTTCGATAAATTCACATCCAAGTCTTTGAGCCATATTCACACCTTCTTCCCGTGAAACCTCACGTTCAGTAATTTTATCACATTTATTACCAACAAGTATAATAGGAACCGACTCGGTATCTTTAACCCGAGTTATTTGATCCCGAAATCGTCCTATCCGCTCAAATGTAGATCGAGATGAAATTGAGTATACAAAAAGGAAACCTTCACCATCTCTAATCCATTGATCACGCAATGCAGTATATTCTTCTTGTCCGCCTGTATCTATTACCTCTAAAACACATGGTTTATTATCAATAACAACTTGCTTTCTATATGAATCTTCGATCGTAGGATCATAAGTCTTAACAAAATGATTTAGACATAGTTGAATCGTAAGCGATTTCTTGCCTACACCACCATCACCAAGTACAACAAGTTTATAGAACATCATTTTGAAGGATAAAGATAGGAAGTGTTAAACGTTACATATTTATATGTATATTGTAAATAAAATTTATGTTGCAATACATATACAGTACTTGCACAAATATACGTGCAGTAATTAAACTGAGTACGGCTTTAGTTCCAGAAACAGCTATAATACCCCTTACTTCTTGTATTCTCGTATATTAAAAATAACTACATGTATATTTTAATCAGCTATCTTGTTTTATATAACGATGGTCTTAAAATGTATTGATTTAACAGACCATTTTGGCCGTCATCAACTTAAAATCAACGATTGAATTGAAGAGAATAAATTACCTTCTTCGTTGTTCTGGTAAGAGTTTTGTATTATGATTAAACTCAGAATCAATAGAATTTAATCAGCAGAATCACTAGGATATGAAAACAGATACGCATTCTGCTTATCGATTATTGGATTGTAGAGTTGAAATCCTATCAAAAATTAAAGTTCAGATTGTACGTATTTATTTTTTTTATGCAAAATAACTGTATATTCAACTCTAGCATGACATGTTATCACGTATATCCAAATCCAATAACACAATATCAGTCAACTCTCCCTAAACGCAGCCTCCCTAAATGCACACATTATGTATACTCTCTCGAAATGCTCAAGCTTATAAGACCTTTAAATATATACTTCCCATAAATGCAATCTCTCTCTTAATGCATGCCCATGTCTGGTTAGTCATATGGTCTCGGTGAATTGCATTTAAGGAGAATTGACTGTATATGTTAGAGAAACTTTTTTATTAAATGTTATTGTAAAAATGTTCTGTAACTATTAGTTGACTATATGGTTAAAATAATTCTGTGGATTTATTAATTTATTGTGTGAAAAATAAAGAGTAGAAGTATGTTCTCGTTATATACATGTATAACTGTTAAGTGTCTATTTATATAGCAAATTAGAGTGTTCATTGATGAATTAGCGATTTCGATCAAGAATCTTAAATTCCACAATGAAATATTCAAGATACTCTCGATATAACAACCCGAAGATATAAATTTTGCTCTAATAGAATAACCCGGACACATTCAGTATAATGAGAGTAACTTTGTATGCTTTGATGCCAAAGAATTGAAACGTTTAATTAAACTTGCCTAGAAAATATTAAGTGGTTTCTATGAACACAATCGATAAAATGTTTGTTTTCTCGGTGAAATAAACAGTTTATTATCTTTTATTTTCCGTCTTTGAGGCAAATATAATAAGACCAAAATTACAAAAATCTGGTCATTGATTATCGAGAAAATAAGTTTAAAAACATGCAACCGGGAAAATGATGTGTGCTCCTATTAAATTTTCGCAAATTCATCACATTTTTATTTTTTTAATGGTTATATCTTGCTAGAAATCTGGTACTATTATTTATATATTTTGATTCGACAAAAAATGTTAGTGTTGTGTTAGTGTTGTAGTAAATTTATATAACAAACTCACCGCCATTACTCTCGCCGGTGACTGTAGTTTAATTTAAGTTTAAAATAGGGTTTCAAATTAAATCGGTTTACTTAAAGTTTGACAACCTTTTATCTACGAATGAAAGACAAAAACGCATTATCGAGATCGAGTAGAAAAGTGCCACAAATAATAAATTATATTCAAAACAGAAAGTTATCTTTTATTCACATTCCTATGCTAGAAACATTAAACACAAGCAAATATAGCGTAACAGATATCTTAAGCGAATTAAGTCGCCTCTAAAAAATTAATGCACTCATCGTTAAATTTCAATAAATTCACAAATGTAATGAAATACAGAGATCAATTGATAACTTTGAGATACTTCATAATAGTCAATCTCCTTATAGCGTCTTCATGTAATGAATTATAGCTCAACTTTTGCAGAATTTAGTAATTCGTTATATAAGATATAAAAATGAATATTTACTAATAGCCCTGGCGAAAGTAATGGCGGTGAGATTTTTTGAAATACCTCTGAGTAAAGTGTTATGCCCTCAAAAAGTCAAGGCTTAAAGTATTCTGCTTCTATGTCAACCGGGCTTGAATGCGAATTGAAATTCTAAGACATTACTGAGTAACTTTGTCTCGAAATATTTATTTATTTTTATGCTCTTTATTTTTATTTTTTTAGTTAATAATGTAACATGTTTAGCTGAGTATTTTTCTTAACGAATAAAGGCTTGTTGACATAGTGAAATTTTGCGTAGTCACAACTTAAAGAATAGATCCTACGTTACAATTACAAATTCTGTCAAAATCTGAAAATGTATTATAACTCTTGAACAATATAAATACAATCTGAACAAGCAATATATAAAATTATCATGTATTTTTTTTACATCAGTGTTTTTTAAAAGAAAACTAATTATAAAATAAAGTTTTACTGTGATTACTTTTACTGGAAACTATATAAAGTTAATATTCTTACTATTATCTTTGAGTATATATAATCTCTGGTAAAAGTAATATTAAATGTGTTTTTTATATCTTAATGAAAAATCATTCAAAAATTGAAGTTGTAAATATATTTTTTAAAATGTTAGAAACAAAATTTCTTAATATCACAAAGCATGTTAACATAATAATATTTTGCGAAATTTTGTATTAGAAGTGATAAATTGAATTTTAATATTTAAGTAGAAAAAAAATTATTAAAAAAATTATAAAAATATATTTTATAATATAAAGAATATATTTTAAATTTAAAATTTAAAAAATTTTTAGCTCATTTTATTTGATAAATATCATCTAAAAAATTTTTTTATGAATTTTTAAATAAATTATAATAAATATTTTAGTTTTATTATATTTTACTAAATTCTATTAAAAATTCATCAAAATAAAATTTTAAATTTTAAAGAAAAAAAATTATATTTTACTATTTTAATTAATAAATTTTAATATTATTATATTATTTTTAATTGGTATTATATATTTATAAGTACAATTTATAATATTTATTAAAAAAATCTATTTAAAATAATTAAAACATTTATTTTTATTTTTATATTTATAAAATTTTATTATAAATATTATATATTTATTATTAATATTAATTATCTTAAATTAATTTATAGTATTATATTTTATTCCTCTTATTTTTATTGGATACTTAATTTATTTAATTTTTATTAATTATTTTATATATTATATTTTATTAGTTTATATTTTACTATATTTTTATTGGATATATTTATTTTTAAATTTAGTTTATATTATTAATCACATAAAAAGATAAAAAAGCATGAACTAAAAAAATAAAAAAGTTATAAAAGATAAAATAATATAAAATAATAAATTAGAGACAAAAAATATTTAATTTATTTTGTACTAGTTAAAAAAGATAATTTAAATATTTTAATAATATTTATATAAACTGAACTGAATTATATTTTTATCTGATTCAAAATTTGAATCAGACTTTAATTTGAGTTCAAGAAAAGTTCAAAGTTTGATCTAAACTCAAACTAAATTATTATATGAGTTCAAATCTGATTTGAGTTTGATTAGAGATCAGTATATAGTATCATATATTAATTTGTAGTTCTAAATAAAAGCTAAAACTTTAATTATAAGTGCTAATTATAGTATTTAGTAATAATTAAAAGTTTACATTATGACAATTAAATTATTTTTATTGTAAATTCTATATATCTCTTTAAATAATTATTATTATTATTATCAATTATTTTATAATTAATTGTAACTTTTATTTTTAATTATAATGTTACAGTTGTAACATAAAAATCATTAATTCCAAAAATAGTCGAAAAATATAAAATATTTAAAAATATTCATATAATAGCAAAAACTCCTCAAATTATTTTCTCTTTTATATTTATTTTTCCATTTATTTTTCCATTTATGATTATTTTTCCATTTATTTTCCTTTTTTATTTTTCCATTTTTATTTATTTTTCCATTTATTTTTCCATTTATGATTATTTTTCCATTTATTTTCCTTGTTTATTTTTCCATTTATATTTATTTTTCTATTTATTTTTCCATTTATGATTATTTTTCCATTTATTTTCCCTTTTAT